AAAAATAGAATATCCTATTTGAATAATTTAAGAAGAGACTTGTAAGTCTACAAGATCAAATTTCTTATACAAGAGAATATGGTTGTGATAGAGGAGGTGTCAAAATCACTGGGCTTAGGGGCAAGACATATCACTTAGCAAATGTTACCAGGAAAATTGGCTCTCTATAATAAAGAAAATCCTCATTTCATGTCATATAAAAATAAACTTTCTATGGATCTACAGGTGAAGTTAAAGTATTTTAATTGAGAAAACCTAGGTAAAAATATCTTTATAAACTTACTATCAGTTTGAATTTCTTTTTCTTTGAAGATTTTATTTATTTATTTGGGAGACAGAGCATGAGAGGAGAGAGGTCAGGGGGAGAAGCAGACTACCTGCTGAGCAGGGAGCCTGATGTGGGACTAGATACCAGGACTCCAGGATCATGACCTGAGCCCAAGGCAGTTGTTAAACCAACTGAGCCACCCAGGCACCCCAATCAGTTTGAATTTCTTAAACAAGTCTTTAAAAGTAGAAACAATAAATAAAAATTGACAAGTAGTACTACATCAAAACCAGAAGATAGCATAGGCAAGCCAAAAGGCAGGGAGAAGCTACTTGCAGCAGTTGCCTGAGAGGGATTAATATTCAGATTATTCAAGTAACTGCGGCGGAGTAACAAAAATCAAAAAGTCAGAGAGCCAGTAAGGTTTTTTTTAAAGAATAAAAAGGAAAGAAAAGTGAAAAAGGGGGAAATGAAGTCTGAAAAGAACATAAAATGATGATTGACCTCATTAATTGGTGAAATACATACTAAAACAAGACACTACTTTATACCCATAGCATTAGTAGAGATGAAAATTTGCATAATATCAAGGGGAACAGTAGGAAATAACCTGTACAGCCCTTTGAGAGATTTTTAATGGTATTTAGTGAAATTTAGAGTGAACATACCCTGTGATCCAGCAATTCTACTTTGGGGTATATAAGCCAGAAAATTCTTTTTTTTTTAATTGAAGTATAATTGACACACAATGTTATATTAGTTTTAAGTGTATAAGCCAAAAAGTTTCTTTCACAAATGATATGCATAAGAATGTTCATCTTGGCAAAGCAAAGAATAGGAGTCAACCCCACGTATCCATCAGTAAAGCAACTGATAGCTCAAATGTGGAAAATGTTTCTGAAGGCATATTATGAAGTATTATCAAAAGGTGTGAACTAGGTGTATATAAAACAACATGGATAAATCCTAAGTGGTCAAAAGAAAGAAAGATACTGAGATTTATAGTACAGTGCTATATATGTCCTTATAATATATATTTGTACAATTATATAAATAAACATATTGGAAGGAGAGAAGAAGGAACAGATGTAGGAGAGAAGATGTGTTTATATATAGGGGATAAAGAATGCAGAGAGAAGTGTGAGTTATACCTATGTCAATGACAGAAATTGTCTCTTCCAAGAGATTAAGTTGATTGCAGCATTATAAGGATTGATTTAGTATTGATCAGTTGAAGTTGGTAAAAAATGCATATTATTTATCTATCTTCTTGAGGTCAATTGCCCAGACTCCAGGAAGCTAAAAATTTACTTGTAATTTTGAGACAAGTGCCATTGAGTCTTATTTTTAGTAAGGATGGTACAGATTATGTAAAAACCAATGCTTCCACTGAAAACAATTAGCTAGTAAGAGACTAATATATTATCAGGTTACAGTTAATGTCGAATGGTAACCCAGAGAGACAAATGATCTTAAAATCTACTTTTTCCCTGGAATATTTGGAGACCTGGGAAGTGTAAACCTCTATTTTGATGGTTTTTATAATAAGGGAGGAAATCAAAGCATAACAAAGTAAAGTTCATAGAAGACCCTTGCATTAATAAACATGGATTCCTAAGAACTACACCTTTAAAGTGAAAGTAAGTGGGAAATGGACAAACCCTTATGTGGAATTTCAGCTCTGAATTTGATTTTTTAGCACAGAACTTGATTTAACATGGTTGTTGACTAAGCAGTGGTTCCAGATGCTGATGGAACCAAATGCAGACATTCTATAAAAGAAAGTTCATCCTAAGGCTAAAAATACTCATGTAAGTAAGTTTTATATTCTTAACTTGAACACAAAGATAACTGCACACACGAGGAAACATGACACCATGAGTGAGAGCCAGCAGAAAAAAAAACCAGAATACAGAAATATACTTCAAATATTTTAATTAGTAGAGATAATATAATAATATGCTAAACACTTTATTGAAATAAAAGTTATGCTTAAAGATGTAAAGATAATAAGAAATGTGATAGGGACGCCTGGGTGGCTCAGTTGGTTAAGCAGCTGCCTTCGGCTCAGGTCATGATCTTAGCGTCCTGGGATCGAGTCCCACATCGGGCTCCTTGCTCTGCGGGGAGCCTGCTTCTCCCTCTGCCTCTGCCTGCCATTCTGTCTGCCTGTGCTCGCTCTCTCTCCCTCTCTCTCTGACAAATAAATAAAATCTTTAAAAAAATATTAAAAAAAATAAGAAATGTGATAGATTATTAAAGAACCAAATAGAACTCCTGGAACTAAAAAATATAAACATAATTTAAATTTAATTGAAATTGAATAACAAGTTTAATAGGAAAGTAGGTATAACTGAATAAATAATTTGTGAAGTGAAAGGTCAGAATGTAATTTATCTAGCATACAGCTCAGAGAGTTTGGAAGATGAAAAATATGGAAGAGATGTTTAGAAACAGGACAGAGTAAAAAGTTTAAGACAGGATCCACAGCAATATTTGAAAAATATTGGAGTGTCACCTGGCTAGTTCAGTTGGTGGAGCATGTGACTCTTAATCTTAGGGTCATGAGTTCAAGCCCATGTTGGGTGTGGAGTCTACTTAAAAAATACATATATATACCCACACACTCACACACACCTAACAGGATAAATAAAAGATAACCATGCTTGGAAACATCATTGTGTAGTTTCAAAAAGCCAAAAACAAAGAAAAATATATTTTTTTAAATGGAAAGACATAGGAAAAAGACATGTAATCTTGAAACACATGGCAGTTAGACAAACAGCTATGCTCCATATGAATTTCTCAACAGTAGCACTGGACATTAGAAGATATCTTCGATATGCTAAAGGAAATTAGAAAATCTTCCTGACTAAATAGTCTTTGCAAGAATATCAAATGAGAGAATCAGATGATAGATACCAGTTTGGCTTTTTAAATTAAGATCATAGGAGAGAAGTGGTATAAAAACATTTGATTTCTCAAATATAACTTCTTTTTTAAAGATTTTATTTATTTATTTGACACAGAGAGAGAGATCACAAGCAGGCAGAGAGGCAGGCAGAAAGAGAGGGGGAAGCAGGTTCCCTGCTGAGCAGGGAGCCAGATGCAGGGCTCAGTGCTGGGCTCAATGGGGGACTCCCATCACGGACCCAGGGATCATGAAGGCAGATGGCCAATGACCGAGCCACCCAGGTGCCCCTCTTTTCACTTCTTACTCCACTCCCTCCATGTCTGTCATCACATCCTGTATCTTTATCATTTTAATATAAGCTTATTATTGCATTTCTAATTGAGGTCAATGTCATCTCCTTTTCTATCTAAAAACCTTTAATCATCTTGCATTTTCATTGATGTAGAGTCCCAAATGCCTTGGAAGGCCTTACATAATTATTTGCTTATCTCTTTCCTCTTGCTCTATGACTCAGCCATATTTTTCCTATTTCAGTTCTTCCAAAAACACTTCTCTCATCTCAAATTTTCACAATCATATTTTGGGATTATCTGGAAATTTTACCCAACACCCAGTTTTTGTTCCAGAAAAGTCTTTTCTGTACTTCCAAATTCTGGTTAGATGACCCTTATCTATGCTCTTAGAATAGCATGATCTTTTGCTATCATAGTATTAATTATGTTCCATTTTTTAAAGTTTTAATTTATTTTTATTTTTGGGGGGCGGGGCAAAGGAGGAGGGAGGGAGAGAATCTTAAGCAAGCTCCATGCTCAGCATGGAGCAGACTCAGGGTTGGATCTCATGACCCTGAGATCCTGTCTTAAGCCAAAATCCAGAGTTGTATGCTTAACTGACTGAGGCATCCAGGCACCCCTCATTATGTTCTATTTTTAAATATGTAATCCCTTTTCTGCCTCCATCTCCCAGGACAGAAACTGCTTACCACTCTATCCCTAACACTACCATTCCTAACACAAAGTATATGATCAATAAATATTTGCTAGACAGGTAATGAGTGGATGAATAAAATATTTATGATGATGCCTCTGGAAAGCCTGGGTCTGCAAAATAGATTTATTTTCCACAACTAAACTGATATCTAGTTTGTTCAATTTTCTGGACATATCTTGTTTTATTCACTACTATTGAGCATTTACTTTCTATTTCTGCCAGGTAAGTCTCTCATGGAGTGTCCTTAAGTAAATGGTACCATTTACTCAGCTTGAAATGTCCAGTCACCCCAAAACAACTATTTTCATGTACTAGGTTCAGTTAAAAATGCATGACCTTATTGTCTTTTCTAGGAGTATTTGCTGATAGCTAGAGAAGACTAAAATCTCTGGTTCCCTTTTCCAATTTCCTGGCAATATTTTGTTCATAACGTTAATTATGTGAAAGAGTCCCTTTAAGTATTTTTAGTTGTTTTATATATGGTCTTCAAAGAGAGATCATAATTTATTTGAAGTTGGGGCTATATCTTAAACATGATTTTTATATTCACCACAGCTCTAACAGGTTGTGATTTATTGTGTTAAAGACTGAATAATAATAGCATCACATATTACTGAGAATGTAACTCAGAAAATAAGAATATAGGAGAGAGTGTAATTTAAGTTAATCAACAAACACACAACGTAAATTAGTATTTTGTCTCAAACTTATCTGTTTAAAACCTGAGAAGCAGCAGAGTCGCATGGTGGCGCTGCAGGATAAGATGGGGATTTTTTCATACCATCCAACGCTTTGGTCTCCCTTAATCAGTGTAACTGAGAGCACAGGAGAAGAAAGAAGGGGAAAAGAGGCTTTCAAGAGAAAGCTAGGGAGCCAACAACACCCTGTAATCCGTGATAGGATTACAAGACTAAAGATTCCCAGTGGTCCCGCCTGATAGATGAGAGGCGCAATTTAGGAGCTGTTTGCTACTGAGTTGAAACAATTCCGCAGAAGCACATTTGGCTAAGGAGCCATGGAACCAGGAGAGAGGCACCCTCAGCAGATAAGGCAAGTGCTGCTATTCTTTGTTTTCCTGGGAGGGTCTTTGGTGTGTTCAGAGCCCTGGCACTATTCTGTGGCAGAGGAAATGGAGATCGGTTCTGTTATAGCCAATGTGGTGAAAGAAATAGATTTGTCTGTGGAAGACTTGGTTGCACGGGGGGCGAGAGTCATCTTTGACGACTATAAACCTTATTTACAGTTGGATCCACAGACTGGCAACTTGTTCTTAAATAAGCAACTGGACCGGGAGGCACTTTGCCATTTCACAGAGCCATGTATATTGCATTTCCAGGTATTATTTGAAAATCCTTTACAATTTTTTCGGGCTGAACTTTGGGTTAAAGACATAAATGATCATACCCCTGCTTTCCTAGACAAGCAAATAATTCTGAAAATCTCAGAAGCTACTGCTCCAGGAACCTCATTCCAAATGGACAGTGCTCAGGACTTGGATGTAGGAAAGAATGGTGTCCAAAACTACACATTAAGTCCCAATTCTTATTTCCACCTTAAATTACAAGACAGTGATGATGGCAGAAAATTCCCAGAGCTGTTACTGGACCAATCTCTGGATCGGGAAAAGGAGCCCGAGTTTAGATTAACACTAACAGCCTTGGATGGTGGGTCTCCGCCCAGGTCTGGAACTACACTGGTTCGTGTTTTGGTTTTAGATATCAATGACAATGCTCCAGAGTTCCAAAGGCCTGTCTATGAGGTTCAGGTACCAGAAAACAGCCCTGTGGACTCCTTGGTCATCAGGGTGTCTGCTACAGATTTGGATGCGGGAATATATGGAGAATTATCCTACTCATTTTCTCACGTCTCCACAGACATTCGGAAAACATTTGAAATCCATCCAGTTTCTGGTGAAATCCATTTAAAAGCGCTTCTGGATTTCGAGTTAATTCAGTCATATACAATAAATATCCAGGCCATTGATGGGGGTAGCCTTTCCGGAAAATCAGCAATTTTAGTTCAGGTTGTGGATGTGAATGACAACGCACCAGAAATAGTCATGACATCTCTGACTAGCCCCATACCTGAAAATTCGTCACCTGAAATGGTGGTCGCTGTTTTTAGCATACGAGACCTAGATGCTGGGGACAACGGGAGGATGGTGTGCTCCATTCAGGATGACCTCCCTTTTCTCTTGAAGCCTACCTTTAAAAATTTCTACACCCTGGTAACAGAGAGCCCCCTAGATAGAGAGAACCAGGCCGAGTACAACATCACCATCACCGTCACCGACCTGGGGACCC